AGCCAAACCCTCCCTGAGCTCTGGCAGCCTTGGGGCTGTGCCCACTGCCCTGGGGAGCCTGGGCAGTGCCCAACCAGCCTCTGGGGGAAGAACCTTTGGCTGAGATCCAACCTGAGCCTGCCCTGACACAGCTCCAGCCATTCCCTGCCTGCTGTCCCTGCTCACACAGGTCGGAGCTGCCCCTCCTGTGCCCCTCAGGAGGAAGTTTGGCAAAGGGCTGATGGTTTTCCAAGGGAAGCACATGTTGGTAGGAGGCCACAGCAGAAGGCTGTGCTGGAAACCAGCCCTGGACAGTTGTGTGGGGATCAGCTGCCTTCAGAGGTTTGTTCCCCTCCTGCTCCTGTGGCTCCACAGGCACCAACTCCTCCATTGGCAGCATTTTGCTGTTGGGACACAGGGAGAGCTCCCTTGTCCTGTGATGTTTCCATGCAGGCTGTGAAGGGCAGGCAGGAAATGGCAGAAGGTCTCTGTGCCACCTCCCAAAGCCTGCAGGCTGTAGCTCCCTGACACCTTGGGGTCCTGCTGCAGGGACAGGGGTGTCAGCAGGGACTGGAAAAGGTCATTGGAGATCAGGGGAGCCCTTAGTGAGCCCTCACTTAGGCCTGGGAAGTGTGTGGGTGTCTCTGTGCTCCCAAAATTAGCTCAGTTGGTCAGAGCATGGTGCTGATAACACCAGGGTTGTGGGTCTGACCCCTGTATGGGCCAGTCATGGAAGAGCTGGACTTGATCATCCTTGCGAGTCTCCTCCAACTGGGAATATTCTGGGATTCGGACGTGAAATGTGGGTTGATGTAAAGCCCTGGGAGCTCCCTGTGAGGAGCTTTCCCTTGTTCCTGCCTGGCTGAAGCAGCCACATGGGCTGGGCTGAGAGGAACTTCTGAAGTTACCGCAAAAGCACCTCAAGCTCACAGAAAGGTGCTCTTTGTGCAGCCCAAAAATGTGGTGAATAAAAACCAGTGAAAGGATTGACTGGACAAGGATCTGCTGGAACCATTTGTTTCCAGTCCTGCCTCTCCTGAGGCACCTTTCCAGCCAGCTGGAAACGAATTTCTTCCTCTTCTGTTTGGACATGAATTACCTTTCTTGCCAAACGTTCCTCGACTCTTGCACACCAAGGTGACATCCCCACTCAGGGCTGAGCCCTCCTGACAGCCCAGGCTGGGGGAGGAAATGTTCAACCAGCACAGAGACAGACAGGGAGATCCTCCCTGTCACATCACACCTGGGAATATTCATCTCCATGACTCTCCCTGGGGGGGTGTGGGATATCCTGGCTGCTCTCCTGGAAGGCAGGGGATGGATCACAGCAGTGCCCTGCCCAACACATACAGATGGATCACCTTGATTGACTCCCTTGGTTAAATGACTTGGATTTATCTGCACTTCCTGAGACAGAGTTTAGAGCAGTAGAAGGACAGAACATGCAGAAATAAGGGAATGTGCTCAGTGAGGAGAGAGAAGTATGTGCTGGGATGTGTGTGTGTCCAGTTGTCATGACTGTGGTCATGGAATAAAGCAGTTAATGGCATTACAGGTTTGTCAGTCAGAGCTGGTGGATATAAATCATGTCTCGGCCTCTCTCTGGTTCCTCAAGAGAGGCTTCATTTCACCAGGTCCCTCATTCTGCAGTGTCACAGCAGAGCCTTCTCCCAAGCACGGGAGCACAGAGGGGTCTGTGTGGGCTCTGCCCATGCTTCGACTGCACCTTGGGAGAGACAGAGAATGCACCATCCCCTGGGGTATCTTTGTTGTGTAACAGAACCACAGAAGGCCAAGTAAAGGTGTCCTGGTGTTGTCCAGCAGCTCCCACCCCCCCCTCCCAGTCAGCATTGCTGGTGGATTGAAGGTTTGGCTGGAGGGAACACCCAGCCTGCAGAATTCCTTGGCAAAGATATCCTTGCTCCAGGCCTCTGCTGCTGCTGCAAAGACCAGCTCAGCTGCACCATCGTGGAAAGGCTGGTGTGGCCTCAGAGGTTGTTGGGATTTGGAACACTGAGCAGGGATCCCTCACCTGGAATTCCAGGTACTTCCCTGAGGTGCTGGAGCTGGGAACTCAATTCCCTTGGTCTGGACAGAGATAAGAGACTGAGAGGGAGGCTGATGGATCTTGTGGTGGATGGATCAGCCTGGCAGGGATGAGTCTGTCCCTGCTGACTGCAAGTGTGGAGCTCTGGGAGAAGCTCTGCCTTCAGTGTCTGAGTTAAACTCAGATTTTAATCCCTTGATAATAACCCAGATTGTGTTTTTAAAACCTGCTTTAAACAGAGCCAAAGTGCTGTGATGTTTGGGTTCTGATATCCCACTGAGGGGGAACCCCAGGTGCCACTGCCCAGCACCGAGGTCCTTCACCCACAGAGCCTCTGCCAGGCCTTGCCCACCTCAGAAAGTCCCCACTGCCCTTCCAGATTCAAAGCACCAAGAGCAAGAGCACTGGGGGAGTGAGAAATGTGTTAAAATGGATCAAGAAAAGCAAAATTAAGCTTTAAAAGCAAACGGGTGGATGCTGAGGGTTCCTGTACTGGAAGTGAGCTGTTGAAGGGCTTCACAGCTCAGTCTTCCAGTCCTTGGAGAGGCAGGAAGAATTTGTTACGGATTTTGGTGGAACTGTTTCATGGGGAATGTGAAAAAGGAGGAATTGAAAAGATAAACTGAGTTTTTGTTAGAGTGTGTCTGTTAGAGTGGTAAAACCCTCAGCTGATGAACTGGGCAAGACCTGGGGTACTCTGAGGAAATGTGTTTGGGCAGAAAGATCAGATTTTGAGGAAGAAACAGACATTTTGAGAAGAATTGCCTCTGTGACAATATATATTTTTTTAAAATACTGTTTAACTCTGCCGCGGTCTGTGCGTAAAATGAAATTGGTGTCTCTTCCCTCCATAACCCAGCTGTGTCCCCTGGGTGGGGTTGGGAAGTTCACAGAGTGATCTCCTGACCTTCTGCAGGCCACAAAGTGTCCCCTTTCCCATCTTCTTGACCGGCTCCTCTGGCTCTTTTCTGAGCCTCGAGGTGGAAAAAGGCAGCTGGGATGTGTCATCCATCCCTGTGTCACAGCCTGTGGCTCCTGGCAGTTGATTTGTTGTGATTATCCTGGGATAAAATCTAATCAAGTGTGGTCAGAGGGACTCCAGCAGTCTGATGGAGCAGGGAAGGTTGTGCAGAGGTTCCTTGTCAGAAGGAATAATAGGAATAACAGCAATAACAGGAATGGCAATACTAATACTACTACCAATGATAATTCAACCCGTGCTTCCAACTGTGATTTACATTCCCTGGTGATTTTCTTTCTGCCTCTCTATGCTACTTCTGCAGGAAAAATGTGTTTAAATCTGTGTCTTGTGGGGAGACAGGAGTGTTTTCTCCAGGGCAGAGGAGGTCCATGGGAGGTCTGGGAGCTGGACCAAGCTCATCCTGAAACCCTGTGCACAACCTCAGGGTTATTGTCCCTTCAAAAGCAACAGAGGTGACAAAATCTGTCCTGCTCTGCCACTGAAACAAAGGAGAATTTACCCTGGTGTCTTTAATTAAAAAAACCCAACCAAACAAAAAGACAAACCAAACAAATCCAACATTATTTTTAGGTTTCTGACAAAAAGAGAGAGTCTCTGCAAGTGAAAAATATTAAAATTCCAGGTATCCTGTCTAATAAATAATAACATGAGCTTGAACTTGGCTACCCACAGTCAGCACGAAATCATGCACAGAGCTCTTTATGTTCTGAACTTTGCCTATTTCCCTCAGCTCTGCAGATATAAATAAATAATTCCCCTTGATAAAGGTCTGGGAATGCTGTACTTTAAAAGATAAGAAGGCTTTGAGGGGGAAATTGTTTTTAAATCCGTAACATTTGTATGCTGTTCCCTGCTCACACCGAGCAAAAACTCATTCACTTGGCAGTTAACCAACCCTGTTTTATTCTTACTCTGTGTTCAACCTCTCCTCCTCCTGGGGACACCTAACCTTCTGTGTAATTACCTCTCTGAGAGTGGGAAGGAGGCCTAAATAACCTCCCTAACAACTAAATAAATACAGAGATCCCTGGGACAGGTTATCACTCGGATGCCAGTGGTGGAGCTATCAGGAACAGCGTGCCTGAGCCAGGAGGACTTTCAAGACTTGAGGCAGTTTTGTTCCAGCACTGGGCCAGAGAACTAGAATTTGGAATGTTTTCAACAAACCAACCTTGGATTTTTGGAGCATTTGAATGTCTTTGATGGCTGGAAAGAACGGAGATGGATTTTAACAGTGCTGGTGGTCTTTGTTTTCTCTCGAGGTCTGTCCAAGTCACTCGGTCTCATTGAAGGCTATGGGGGGCGTGGGAAGGGTGGCTTGCCAGCCACCCTGTCCCCTGAGGAGGAGGAGAAGGCAAAGGGACCCCATGAGAAATATGGCTACAACTCCTACCTCAGTGAGAAAATCTCTCTGGATCGTTCCATCCCGGACTATCGGCCGACCAAGTAAGTCCCTGTTGCTCCGTGAGGCAGTGCTCGGGTTTGGGTGGCACCACAGGAATGCTGGTGGTTTCCATGCTCTGGTTTGGGACTCTTGGCTTTTCCCTCATTATTGTTCACAGGGTCCTGCTCAGGAATGAGCAACTGGGGTAGTTTGGCTGAAACCGAGATCAGGGAATCACAAAATCACTGAGGTTGGGAAAGCCCTCTAAGACTGAGCCCAACTGCAAACCCGGCACCAGGATGCTCACAACCAAACCAGAGCTCCAAGTGCCACATCCACGTGCTTTTGGAACACTTCCAGGGATGGTGACTCCCCCACTGCCCTGGGCAGCTGTGCCAGGGCTGGACACTCCTTTAGTGAAGATGTTTTCTCAATATCGAACCTGAACCTTCCCTGGCACAGCTTGAGGCCGTTCCCTCTTGTCCTGTCACTCGTTCCCTGGGAGAGGAAGCTGATCTCCACCTGGCTCCAAGTAGCTGTAGAGAGTGACATAATTCATCAAGATGATTTATCAGGGGAAAAAGTGATTTTCTTCCCACTCTTCTCTCTGTTTTCCTAAAGCAATCCATGACTTTGGGTGGGAGTGGTGCCATCAGAGTCTCACAGCAGCTTTCACCAGCCAAGGGCTGTTCCCTGAGCTATTGACCTTGGTGTTTATTACCCTGTAAATGTGTGCAACGACTTTCCCTCTCTCTCCCTTATCAGCTCCTTCACATTCCTGCAGGACCTCCAGGGCTCTGGGGCTGCCCTTGGGCTTCTCCTGGGACACTGTGGGATCTCCTGCTGGAGATCTGGGCCTTTGAAGGGAGTTGCTCAGGTGGCAACATCCTTCCTCTAGTTTTTTACCAGAATGATCTTTAAAGGTGATGGTGACGTTTACCTGCCAAGCACCACAGAAGAACAGACTAAAAAGAGGTGACACACCATTTCCCTCAGGGTGTGAGAAAAGACACGCTGTGAGTTTATCTTTGTGAAGGTTAATTTTAGATATGGCTGGTGGAGAGTTCCTCAAAATAGCAAAGTGTCAATTTGTCCAGACCTGGAGTGAAATCCCTGATAAAAAAAGGAGTGGGGAGAGATTTAGATGCTGGAAGATACTTGTCCAGTGCCTGTGTCGTGGGGGCAGTGACAAAGCTGTTGCTTGGCATCTGCATTAAAAATCCTGCAGCTCCCTGGCTCCAGCAAATTGTTCAGGCTGGGAGAGCTTTTGTTCCTTCCCTTCCCCAAATGCTGCAGGAATTTCAAGCAGCCACTCCAAGTTTCCAGGGCTGTCAACCACTGACAACTCAAATCCTCGGTGAGTTTTCCAAGGAGAGGAGGCCCAGGCTGCAGTTTTGCTGGGGTGGTTCAGGACAAACTGAATTGCAGCTACAAATTGCACCTTTGGCTCCACGAGATGCAAATCCCACTACAATGCAAATCCTTGGAGAGGGACCTCCTCAAGCTGTTACCTGAGGCTGAGCTGCTTATTTCCATTTCTCATCCAGAACTCTGACTTCAGCATTACTTCCTGAGAATTAATTTGAGAAGTAATGCGGGGGTTTTTTTTTCAGATTTTGGGGGAAGAAAAGGATCCATTCTGACATTTTTAGGCTGGCATTGTATTTTCCCTCGGTGCCACTATCTATCATTTCACAGGAGAGTGGTGGAGAGGACAGAGCAGGCCTTAGAAATGCTTCATTTTGGAGCTGGGCTGATCCTCTGGAGAGAATTTGTGGCACTGACTGCAGCTGCATAACTTTTATCTATGTAAGAACTTCAGGAGGGTGTTTTCTTTGTTGCTTTTTTTTTAATTTTGGGGATCAATTGTCTTGGTAATGCAAGAGAACAGTTGATCTGGTATGAAATAGGCTGGAGTTTGCTGGAGGATTTGAAAAGTTTCAGCTTTTCCTACCTCTGGCTCCAGGCTCCTCTCAGTCCTTCATGCCTGCAGCTTTATGGCTGATTTTATGAAGGGTTGAACACAAACCATTTAAGTCAAGTATCCTGGGCTCTGATTAAAATAGATTCCAGTCAAAGGAAATTAGCCTAAATGGCTTTGAAATTGCAGCATTAGTGGGGGAAAAACTGTAGAGAACCTTCCAGCTGATAAGAATTACAAAGCATGTTAGTTTTAAATATAATAATGAAGCCTGTTTGGTTCAAGGAAAGAACTGGAATGCTGATGGACTGGAACTGGGCCTGGCAGTGGCTGCTGCTCTCACATCCTTTGCTTTCCATCTTCTCTCTTTTTAAAGAAAGATTAACGTGGTCAAGGGTCACTGTGAGTCCTCCTCCTGCTCCCCCTTTGTGCCTGTGGCCAAAGGAAGGCAGAGGGAGGAGAGTTCAGGGGAAATTCGGCCCCATCCCTGAGGGTTCAGAGGTTCAGGTGTCCCTGCTCAGGGTGGTTTGCAGGCAGGGCTTGGGGATGAGGAGGCAGCACCACTCCCAGCTGAGGGCATTCTGTCCCTGCCCAGTGGAAAGGAGGGAGGTGATTTTCCCTGGAGAAAATGGTCCCAGAGGTGCTGGGTACAGGATGGTGCTTAGGAGAAGGCAAGATCTTCCCCAGCAGCAAGAGTAGGGGTGTGGAATTTGCCTTGTTTGCCCTGATCTGAGGAACTGTGGGGTCCCTTTTTGGTAGTCTGGGTTATCATTTTGGCTTTGGTTGTAAAATGCAGGGCAAGAGATTTCCTTTTCCTTTCCTAAAAGCTGAGGCTGCTCCCCTGGGCTGGGAGGTTGAAACTGTGCCCTGCTGGTCACCACTGGAACAGGATTGGGTGTTGCACTGCACTGATTCCCAAAAAAGTGCTGCTGACAGTATGGATACATGGAATAATGTGTGCTGCTGGTGCCATCAGGGAGCTGGGCCTGTCAGACCTTAGTCTGGAGCTTATTAATATTGATGTTCCTGGGCCTGACCTTGTGCTGAGCAGCAAAGGTTGTGTTGGGTGAGCATTGCAAGGTGCTTGGAGAGTGAATCACAGAACATGTTACACTTTGGATGGCCAAGAAAGCTCCTCCTTTAGCTAAAATAAGGCAGGACTGATGTTTTGGTGCTTGGTGCAAGGGACTTTATTTCAGAACTTGCTACAGAACAGTGGCATAATGAGACAGGCACAGGCAACACATTTCTAACTTGTCTGATTGGGGTTTTTGCCTCTAAGATGAGATTCCTGCCTGTTCTGGAAAACAATTATGGCTTCCAGATTGGAAGTAGCCAAGGTGCTGCCTGCAGGCTGCAGGACTTCTACACACATCTCAAAAAAACTGAGCTGGAGAGCTTTTCTTCAATTTTCTGCAAAAACCTGTGAAGGACAAGGCTGATCTGTGAGTTTTATTGTTGATCCACTCCCAGCATTTTCTGCCCGTGGAGGATGGGGGGATTTAGGAAGATGTGTTGTTTTCTATATTGAAAGTGAAGCATATTTATATGGGATCCCAGGGACTGGAACATTCCCTGCTTTGCTACCAGATTTTCTTTACCTCTCTTTTATTCTGTGATATATGATTTAATGGGAACCTCTCCTGTGTGCAGCAGGAAAATAAAAATTGCTTTGTTGGATCAGTCTGCCTGTCCATCTTATCCAGCATCTAATCTCTGATAGTGGAATTACCAGATGCTTCAGGTTGAAGAAATCATATTAAGGAAAACTATGAAGTAATCTGCCCATCTGGTCTGTTCTGCCTCCTCTTTTCTCTCCTTTCAATCCTCTCTAATATAAAAGTGGAGTTCTCATTATCTCTTTAAAAGTCTCTTCCTTTCTGGAATCCTGCTAAGCTCTGATTCAGTGGTATTTTATGGCATTATGGGATTAAGGAGTAGAGTTAAGTAAAATAATACCCACAATTGTTGGGACTATTGGATCACTGGGTGAGGATGACAAATTCCTGCTGCTGCAAATCTCTTGACAGCTGCTCCCATGCAGGGATGCCTCAGGATTTTCAAGTGAAGAGGAAGGATGGGGGAAGTGATAAGGAACTTCCCCAGCTTGATTTTTTTTCAGATGACTTGAGGGCTTCCCAGCAGGACACACTGCCCCTTCCTCCTGCCTGCCTGGGGGTCCAGAGCGTGGAAAGGGGCTTTGGAAAAGTGACAGGATGGAGGGGAATGGCTTAAAACTGACAGAGGGCAGGGTTAGATTGGATTTCTTCTTCCCCTGATAGGTAAGCAAAGGGTTTCATTCCCTTCTGCAGCACTCTGGGGTACCAGCACAGGAATGACATGGAGCAATTCTAGAGGAGGCCACGGAGCTGCTCGGGGGGCTGGAGCCCCTCTGCTCTGGGACAGGCTGGGAGAGCTGGGGGGGTTCACCTGGAGAAGAGAAGGCTCCAGGGAGACCTGAGAGCCCCTTGCAGGGCCTAAAGGGGCTCCAGGAGAGCTGGAGAGGGACTGGGGACAAGGCATGGAGGGACAGGAAAAGGAGGAATGGCTTCAAACTGAAAGAGAGTGGGTTTAGATGGGATATTGGGAAGAAATCCTCCCCTGTTCAGGTGGGGAGGCCCTGGCACAGGTTGCCCAGAGAAGCTGTGGCTGCCCCATCCCTGGGAGTGTCCAAGGCCAGGTTGGAGCAACCTGGACTAGTGGAAGGTGTCCCTGCCCAGGGCAGGGGGTGGGACAGGATGAGCTTTTATGTCCCTTCCAACCCAAACCATTCTGGGATTCTGTGATAGAAAAACTGTGAAGTTGTGGTGGGAGCTTGATTTGCTTTTTCCAGCGTTCCCCTGGTTTGTGTTACCACAGGGACCACGAGGCCTTGGAGCATGACCTGGGCAGAGCTCTACCATCACCTGCAGCCACTGCTAAAGATGGAACAGTTTCATATCACAGCCTTGATTTCAATTTTTCCTGGTGGTGTGTTTGGGGGTTGAGTCAGAGCCATTACTCTCAAGTGACTGAATCACCCATTTATTTCCACAGGAGCCTTCTCTGGGAGCCTGGGAGCAGTTGGGCTTTTTAGCACCATCTGGCTTGAGCTGGTTTTATTACCAGAGAGCTCATGTAGCAGCAAGTCTTGAAAGTCTT